GCCACAACAATCCCGCCCCCTTGATAAATGACCAATCACATTCACTTTTTTCACTTGTGTAAAGTGGGACACCACCCGGGAGAATTTGGAAATGCGGTTGGAACAGTCGCTTCCCTACGACTTTTAGGTCTCCATTGTGAACATAGCCTTTATGCTTTCAATCACAAAAGTCCAGTTTTCTCTCATATTTTTGAAAGTTGTTCATTTTAACAGAATGTTAATTAAAACGGACATTTCCTGTTGGGATGCAGGGTGTTTAGATAATCTTAGCACTGCTATCTGGCTCATGTTAAACATCAGGAATATTGATCCACCAGATATTGATTTCTATTTTTAATCTGATCTAGCACACTTGCAAAGAGAAATCACTGCACCTTCCCTAAGATCCCTCTGCCCATTTTTCTATGTACGTCAGCGAGCACACGCTGATCTCCCTCCATGTTTTCATTAGTGCTGGTCTCTTGGGTCTCAGCCCTGCAACATCCATTAGCAGCTCTCACAGAGTGCATAACACAGTGGACCATGATATCTTGCCCTCAGACGCTGATAAAACAGGAACTATTTCTGCCATTCGAAGTGTCGCTCTGTAGTAAGATAAGGAGGGCTGCATTAAGGAGGAAGCCTGGCGTCAGTTTGTATCAAAGATAAAATAGTTTAGTCTCATAGCACTGATATAAAAAAGAATCTTCTCAGATTAGAATATTACATTAAAATAATAATAATTTAGATCACCTAGCTGGTTGGTTGGTTATTGCCACTCAGCCCTGATCCCAAATCCCTCTTTTCTTTCATCCCTTTTCCTTTCTATTGAATCCCATCACACATTTCCTCAGCTTCAAATTTTCAGAAATATACAACATTCAGTCTATAAACTAAAAAAAAAAAAAACAGAATTACCTAAATGAGTTTAGTAGCACAGAATTGTTTAATCTGAAATACTTTGAATGGGAGGAGGGAAGTCCACAGCAAGTTTTCCATGGCTCCATACATCAGGCTGTAACGCCTGGAGAAGCTGCTAACTGAATAACCTGCCTCCATCTAACCTATATGTGCACATGGCCTTCTCTCCGGGTCCCTGAAGGCATTTCAGTGTGGAAGAACTCACACTCTCCCTCCTGATTTGGGTGATAAAAATCTCCAGCTTGCAGTGGATTTTGTGTGGCTGTGCGGTCATTCCAGGATCCCAAGACGGAGTCCGTTGTCCCTGGAGTTTTCCATTCAGCCGTGAAATTTTTTAGCAATTAGCTCTGAGCCTATGCTGTTTTAATAAGTTGGGTTTTTGTGTTTTGTGAAACTTGGCAGACGTTGCATGTATGCTTTTTTTTTTAGATGGCTGGCCATTTTTTATGCTTTTTGCAATATATGGGATGTATGCTTTCATGTTTTTAATTTGAATTGTGTTCTCCTCACATCCGTTTGCACTAGTAGAGTGGAGCATGTTGTCCTTGACACGGCGAACGGTGTTTGTGTAGAAACAAATCTGTTCAGCGTCTTTCGGTGTGCAAGTCGCAGCTTTCTTTTACTTTCACACATCCTCTGGTTATCTATCTATCTTTTGCATATCCTCTCACACACTCTCACATTCATGCACCCTCACTTGTGTGTAACCTACTACCCGTGAAGCCCACCAGGGACCAATTTTTTCCACAACTCTCCCTCTTCCTCTCACCCTCCTTCTGCTCTGTCTCTTTCTGACGAGTGCTCTCCAGGCGTTTTGGGACTCTGGCCTGTCAAAGGCACATAGATTGGGAAAGGGGGGGAGGTTGAGGAGGTCCATCTCTACACCCTGGGTGCTCACACTACATGTGCTTGTGTAAGGCGGTTTATGAGGAAGAGGAGAGAAACTGACAAGAAAATAAGGGAACAGCTCATTGCCGCTATGGTGAGTTAATTGGGCTCCTCTGAAACAAAAAAAGGAGCAGATAGAAGAGAACAGCTTAAGCCATCAGGAGTCTGTTGATTTTCGAAAATAAAGCAAGGACATAAAGTACTTTGCTACAAAAACTAATACAACATTTGTCATGTTACAACAACAGCCTTGAGTGTTTTTCTTTGGGTTTTGTGTTATAAGTCGACACAAAGTGGTGCATCATTGTAAAATGGAAAGAATCCATGGAAAGTTTTGACCTTTCTTTAAATGATAGTTTAATTGAATTGCACCAAATCAATGCAAGTGCCACAGCAAGACATTTTATAAGACCCCCAAAAAATCCTGCCCTATATGCAGAAATTTATCCAGTAAGCCTATGGAGAAATTCCCAATCCGTTTATTTTTAATTGTAGTTATAAAACACCGCAATCAAATTTAGTTCCTTACTTTAACTGGTCTTTTTTTTTTAGCGCAGTCGTTTGCATTGAGTCACTTGGTTATAGCGACAGGAAAGGGAAGACTGTCTTTTTACAGATAGAAACCTCTCACTCAGTGAAGGACGATCTGCTGTAGTCAGCTGGGGTTTGTAAAGACTAATCAGACGTCACAAAAACACTGAAACTCTTCTCAGGTAGTGAAGAAAAATTACTCGGACAGAAATAAACCTAAGCAGTTTGCTCTGTGTCGTACAATCGATGGGAAGAAGGACGGAGCACATATTGTTAGTGGCAGTGGTGGTGGTGGGGGGGTATCCAGGAGGCGGAGATCACTGCATCCTCCATAGAGAAAGAGTTTATATTTAATGGCACTGTCAGCTCCGCCGACAGCCGATTCAAGGAAGGTGTTGCAGATAAAATATGGTACAAACGTCTTTTTCTGCTCTTACAGTCTTTAGGGTTATATTTTCATAATCTTTTCACAAGTAGATGGATGATTTTTGCCTATTCTTCTTAGCTTTGTAGTTGTGTTGTTGATGTCTCCAATAACAACAGCAAAAAGTCCTCAATAGGATTTAAGTCTGGACTTTAACTAGGCCATTTTAACATGATTTTCCTCTAAGTGGGAAACCTCTGCCCCTTTCACAGGTCTCATAAAGCCTATAAGCATATTTTACACATCTTTCCTGACCACATTAAACCTCCTTCTAACCTCAGAGGACTTGCACCAATGCCCTTTCTTTTACCCCTCAGTCAGATTTATGAGAGCATGATTGACAGCTGTCATGTTCTCACATCTGTCTACCTGAGCGGCGAATACTGAAGCCCCTTTTAAGAGGAACTATGGGCTGTTTGTGATTGCCTCCTTGTACAGCCTGTCAGCTTAAATTAGGGGTCTGCAACCTTTTATGCTATATTTGCCCCAAGTCTAACTGAATAAAATTTACACGACCTTCAAAAAATAAATCTTTTTTTGATAAATGTATAGTTAGGAAATTTGTTGTAATTTTTTAATAAAAACAGTTCTGATGTTTTTTTTAAGCTAAAGATAAAGCAAAACAAAGATGGATAAATTTTCATATGAGATTTTGATATTCATGAAAAGAGAAAAGTTTTCAACCTAGTTAAAAGAAAGAGATTAAAAAATATACTATTTGTTCCTTATCACTACAGGGCACAATGGTCATTCGAAATTAAAAGGAAAAAAAGGGAAAAATGAATTTTTGCCAAAAAAATAATAAAAAAATCTGATTTTTCTTAGATGATTTCCCATATTTGTGAGAAAATCTTTTTTATTAAAAAATAAAATCAGAAATTTCCCTGATTAAAGGTAGAAAAAATCCATAATTTAAAGGAGAAGTCCGGTCAGCAAGGAATGATCAATGGATCATTATCTATACCTAAAACTGATACGTTCATGGTGATTTAATGAATTTAGGGTTAATCAGTAAAAAATAAATACTTTTCGTTCGGAGTCCAGGAGTGGCCATTTTTGCCCAAACATAGTAACACTTCACTCCTTACGTCACGGTGCGGTAAGCCTAGGGTCAATCTTCCCGCTCTACAAGCAAAATCAATGGGAACTACTAGACACATTTGCAATCCAAAATTACTGAAGATTTTGAGAGGATTTCATCATTGAAATTCACAAGAGGTAGAGTTAAACTGACAATGCCCACGTGCATAGCAGTTGGATGTTGGAATACATCAGGTAAAAGTGAAACCTTTCCGATTCATGATTCACCATGGTGGATTCCCAACTTAAAGAGGGAGGATTTGACATTGAACTTCTGGCCAGAGAAAAAACATGTAATATGTAGCACACATTTGTAAGAATGTTTTCAAGATGACATGGATAATAGCACTGGGACTTGATCAACAGCCGATACCGCACCGTGACGTCACAAACCGGTAGGTGGCAGTAGTGTTCTTTGACAAACGTGGATGCCTCCAGTAAAGCAGGTAAAATAAAAATTACTCTCAATTCAAAACACTTTTAATTTATTAAACAGTATGTAATAATTTTCTATTTAAAGTACTTTCAGAATTTTGAATTCTGAATATGACCAGAATTTTCCTTTAAACTAAGCTTTTGTCTGCCACTCAGTAAGTCAGATATAATCAAGAAACATGAAAACTAACAAAATTTGCTGAGATTTTAAAAAGGAAATATTTACAGAAAAAGCCATATCTCCTCCGAGATTTAAGTGGTACTTTTACGAAACACACTTCTAGGTGGTATATGCAGGAATGCCAGTTCATCTCAAAGAGCTTTCTGGCAGACGTGTCTCTTCTTTTTTTTTCATTTAGTGACCCTACTACTCTCCTACCTTTTAGTGGTATTCTGTTGCAGTTATTCTGTAAAAATACTGAAATGGTGCTGAAACGGATACGTTTATTTGTTCCTTCTTATTTATTGAGAACCACTTGTGGCTCTATAGCCACAGGTTGCAGACCTCTGATGTAGATGGACGCCCATGCCTTTGTAAATTTGTATTTGTGCCACTAATTGGTTAACCTCTTAAGCATCTTGTTGTAATGTTTGGAGCATTAGAGTAAAGAGGGCTAAATATAGTAAAGCATGCTACATAGTTTACATATGCACCCATAAAATATCAAATAAAACCACTAATAATGTATCTTTTACTCAGCAATCATGTGCTTTATTGTGTCGTCTGTCACATCCAAGAAAATACTTATGTGCTTGAAATGTCATGATTTTCTTATTGCTTATAAGAAAGGTTTGTGTTTTTTTTTTCTTCTTTTTTTTTGGTCTGCATGTTCACACCGAGCCTGTTTTCTTTCATTGTAAAACCCTTTTTCAAACTAAAGGAGGTACACGATTTCCTGATTTAAATTGCGCAGAATCTGATGCCGTGTCTGCCTTTTTGTCATCTAGGGGTGTGATCAATCCTATCGGGGGGGTGAAGGGGGGTCGGACAGCCCCCCTGCAGTGTGTTTCTGTAGCTGAGGGCCACTCCAAGCCGGTTCTGTGTGTGGACGCCACGGACGAGCTGCTTTTCACTGGATCTAAAGGTACACATTAGCTCTCAATGACGCACAAATGCAGTGACATCTTGTAGACGAATTAGCATTTCCTTGAAGGCTGGAGATGCTTTGAGTGCTCTAAGACGTCCTGATTATTACCTCTTTTGACTTTTTGCAACACTATCAGACTCACTGTAACTTAATGGTGTGTAGTCATGTTATTTGACATTATTATATAGCATATGCAAGTTACTCCCTCTGGTTGGAGTTCACTAAAGCTGGAGCTAAAGGTCAGGAAGTATTCTGATGCAAGTTGATAGACGTGTCATTACACGTCTGGACTTATTTGGCAGTTGCATCAATGGCCATCTTCTGGATTTTTGGTAGTTAGCGGCCTGTAGGTGGCGCCAAAAATGTTTGTCAGCTGATCACGCCCAGTGCTGGAGTTCTATTTAGGCTCAAAAAGAAAAATCTAAACACTATCAGGATGGACTGCTGAACTGTGTAACCTTATTTTATCATTGATTAACTTGGTTTTGTTCTTTATATGTAACGAGGGAATTTCTCCACTGTCAGATCAATAAAGTCAATCAATCACTTTTTGATATAGGCATATAAGGTGACTCTGTATCTTTAGTCAGCTTGGGCTCTGGGCCTTTCCACTTCTCAGACTATTGGACCCTCATATCAAAGTTAAATGCAACAGTTGCTTTCATCCAAAAAGAGGATGGAGTCTGATTCTTTCATGTGTGTTGGCTATTTTATTTTATTTTTTTTTTGTCACGAGCAAGTGAGGATTATACCTGCAGCATCACAGCTCATAAACCCTAAAAGATGCACAAGTCTTCCACAGGAGATGTCGAAGTAAAATGATAGTGGTGTGTTTTTTTTTTTTAACTTACAGAAAGCAAAAATTAAACTGCAATTTACAGTTGAGTTGTTAAATAAAAATATCGGCATATCATATATCTGCCAAGATTCCCTGCTTTTAAGCTTGCAGGTGTCCTGGTTGGTGCACATTTGTTGCAGCACATCTTTGCTTTCCTTTATTATCCTAAACAGACAGATGGACAGACAGAAACAGATTTCCAACCCTAATTTAACTCTTTGCATTTTCCCCTCCAGATCGCACCTGTAAGATGTGGAATCTGGTCACAGGTCAGGAGATCGCCACCCTGAAAGGCCACCCAAACAATGTGGTGTCTGTAAAATATTGCCCCTCTTCCGGTCTGGTCTTCTCTGTCTCCACCTCGTACATCAAGGTGTGGGACATCCGTGACTCCGCCAAGTGCATTCGCACGCTCACGTAAGTATTTCTTCCTGAAATCAGCCTGATGGGACCATTTGGAGGTTTTATGAAACATTTCAGAAAATTATCCTGTTCAAATGTGCTTTTTTTTCCTTCAGCGATGTGCTTCAGGTTGCATTAAAGTGACAAATTAAACCTTGAAGTGCTTTTAGAGAAAATGACGGCTGCTAACCATTTCTCTCATTTTTATATATATTTCTTTGGTTTTTCTTTTCTGCCTGGCTTCTCTTTACCTAATGACAGATCATCGGGGCAAGTGGTTTCAGGAGACGCTTGTGCTGGAACAACCACCCGGACAATCACCTTTGCTCAGGGCGAATGTCAGATCAACCAGATAGCGCTCAACCCGTCAGGATCTGTGCTCTATGCTGCGGCTGGGAATATTGTTCGTATGTGGGACCTCAACAGGTACACTGAAGTATCATTTACACATATACAACATATTCTCTTTTTTTATATATATATATATATATATATATTTATTTATTGAATCCATAAATAAAAGGGGCCTGTGCATCTCAAAGAAGCAGATTCATTTCTCCCACTAATGGACTCTATGCACAGCTCCACTACTTCCTGAAGTTCAGCAGCTCCGTTGTTTCCTGTCTTTCATTAATGGACAAGCTGAGTAATCCAGATGTGTCTGGCTGGTTACTCAGGTTGTTTTCTTTCTAGCCCTCTTCTGACTTCTGCCTGCTCTCTGTCTTACTCTTCTAAGTGGATTTTCTTTCCATCAGTGTTCCTACTTCCCTCCACTCTTATTCAACTTCTTTCGTTCTATCACTCTTCCTATCTTCTTCCTCTCTCCTGTTGTATCAATCTTACACTATTCTTAAACAGAGACGTAATATTTTCACAATCCATTCAAAAACATTACAATGTACAGCATAAAAACTTACAATTTAATAGGGAAGAACAGATTTTGTTCCAAACATCTGTTGAACGTTTGTTATTTTTAGATGAGATACTGGGGTTATTCTGGAATAATCTCATCAAGCATATTATTATTCTTATTGAGTGTTACCTTTATTATAATCATCTGACCTGATTAAATACTAAAAATATTATCACAATATTTGAAGCTACAAGCAAAAACAGGATAATAAATGAACACTGAGCAGGTGGTTAACTCTTACACCATCATTCTCTTGTCTCATTTAGTGTTCCTGTTACACATCTAAGTCTATGCTCATAGTTCACAACCATAAATCAGCAAAACAACTTATTAAACTCTATTTATAATAAACAACTACCTAAAAATACAAAACAAAGTTCACTAATCAGTTCTAAAAGTCTTTAGGCGAACCTTTGTTGATCCCTGGAGAACCACCGTACCAGATTAGCACTACAGGAGCACTACAGGAGTTTTCAATCATCTTTTTATGTTGTATCCGAGTCTCTTTTACTCGTACCAGCTGCAGCCAATGGTCTGTCTTACATTTTGTTAATTAGCTGGGTTTATGTTACATTTTGGGTCCTCATCTTTAGTAAAGCAATACAGATTAAAGCCCTGTGTTTTTTTTTAATTCATCTGGGCACAAAACCGACATTTGTCAGAAGGATCAGCCACATATTTAACTAAAATAAAAATGAATCAGTTACTCTTATCATAACGCAGGGCACCTCCTCATCAGTTGCGGCCGCCTGTGACGATGAAGCTGAAGTGCTCTGCTGCTCATCTTTACAGAATCGGAACCAGCTACCATAGCAGCCGTTTCTGCATGCACTATGCTCACATGCCTTTTCTACCATAACACAAGTTAACAACAAACATTTTCCCCTCATTCATAAAAGGGTGAAATTCAATTCAAGTCAGTTTATTTCTATAGCGCCAATTCACAACACGTCATTTCAAGGCACTTTCCAGTTCACCAGATCATCCAGTCAAATTGATTCAAAGTTTTCTATCTAAGGAAAACCAGTTGATTGCATCGACTCATTGACTTGAATGCAATCGAATGAAAGCCCTCACAATCCATCTGAAATCTGGGGACAGGTTTATCCAGGGACAGGTGGTCTAAATCTAAGGTGACCAGATTTCTGAGATCCAATCTGGGGAGATTTCCAGCTCATAGATGAATCGTCACAGCTGCAGCCAATGGTCTGTCTTACTTTTTGTTGATTAGCTTGGTTTATGTTATATTTCCGGTCCTCATCTTTAAACAAACACATCAAAGCCCCTTTTTTAGTTTTTACTAACCTGGGCATGAACCAAACATTTATCACAATGATCAACCCAATGCAAATCAAATGAACTGATTAACATACTCACTGTAACACAAAGCAGCTGCGACCGGTTCTGATAACTAGGGTTGTCAAAAGTATCAATACTCAAAAAAGTATCGATACTGAAATGTTGTATCCGGATACAATACTCATTTTCAAAAGTATCGATACAGTGCCACCACCAGTGGCACCTAAGCAGTCCTTCATCCAAAGTGCAGAATAGCGGAAAATGCACTTTCTGTACACTGTCTGATTGAATAATTCTGTGCACTTTTCAGATTCACACTTTTTTTTAACAGGTGTAGCTGCTGAGAATTATTTTTGTTTTTTAACCAGTTTGGCTAGTGTCATTGTTATGCATGTAAAGCATAGCCAAGTAAGGAAAACTTAATTTTAATTTTGTAAGTTTTTTTTTATCAAGCTTGCTTAACATTGTGCACAGCATGCAACCTCAAAATGTTGTTCTTATTGTTTATTGTATTTTTATTATTAATGAAAATGTCTGTTGAAATTTGGAGTCTTTCTTTTTATCCTTGTGGTATCAAAAATGACATCGAGTATCGAATATTTCCCTTAGTATCAGTATCGAGTTGAAAAGTTTAGTATCGTGACAACCCTACTGATAACGAACGTTCTCTTCATTTTTGGAAAGTGCTGCGCTGTTACTTTACACAAAACTCTCCTCCTCTTGCATGTTTCCGCTGTCCATAGCGTTCCTTGACAGTGTCATTTCTAAGTCACCAATTTAGTGCTACTTGGTCCCAGTGGAATTTCCAATTGGGATCCTACTAGCACTAAGTTGCTAACTGATTGACAAGATGCTTCTTACAAAGCGGCCACAACCAATGCGCTTGCGAACCTTCCACCACAACAATCCCGCCCCCTTGATAAACGACCAATCACATTCACTGTGGTTGGAACAGCTGCTTCCCTACGACTTCAAGATGTTCCACCTGTCCTTCCTGGCCTTCAGATCTTAATAAAAGAGATAATGAAAGTTTTTGTTCCACCTTGTAAAATGGCAGAGCTCAGCCTGTCTTAAAACGCAGAACTTCAAGGCTGAGAATATTTTTTTTCTACTTTCATCTACTTGAGGTCAACAAAGGAAATGTAAAGTAATAGCAAATATAGGTAATGATAAAATGAGACCCTGGACAAGATTTGATTGTCAATACAGTTCATGCAAGTGCCTTTGCTGCTTTGTGATGTCTTTAGAAGGGGCAGGGCCCAGAGCAGATTTGCTACCTACACCACAACTACGGAGAAAACAATACTTTCTCAAGAGACTTCAGGATTTCCTGAAAAGTAGCCAATTACAGGCAGTTTACTTTCACATGTTGGTTCCATCCTCAAAGTGAAGTTAAGATGAGTGCACAGAAATAGGTGAAAACAGGCGAGCCGGAGAGAATCTATAAGAGCATAAAAGCAAGAGAGAGCAGAGAAGGAGCCTGAATTAATGGCTGTGATATATTAGGGAGCTTATAGGGTCAAATATTAAAATATTAAAATGCTTGTGGAGAGTAGCTTACTTGGGTGTGTTAAATAGTTTTAAAAATAAACTGTCCCTTTAAGTATTTATTACACGCCTGCACTTCTGACTTCATATGAAGAACAGAACTTTATGGTGATATGAAGGTTTCTGCTCGGTGCTAAAAAGGTTTAAAAAGCTGGAATTTCAAGGTTTGCATAAATGTGAAAAAAGAAGACAGAGTGACAAAATGTTTGCTTTTCCTTTAGAAGTTCTACATCCTGATGTTTTAAAGTTTCCTAGCTGTCATCTATCCATCCATCCATCCGTCCGTTCCTGCTCCATCCGTCTGTTTATCTGTCATCTGTCTTTCAATTTGACTTAGATTTCATCTATCAGTCCATATGTCCAGCATTTATCCATCTGTTTGTCCGTCATTTATCCACCAATTCTATCCTTCACACATTTGTCCGTTTATCCATCATTCATCAGTCTGTCCATCATTCATCCATGAACCCTGTATGCATTTTCCATGAGGAACCTGTTTTAGTAAGGCCTTATTTACTCCTTTAATTTATGCTTCTAATGTTAAAGGATCAACAGATTGCAGCAGAGAGTTTGCGCTGAGGGGCTCCAAGCTATTTAATGATGTGTAACAACCCACCAAGAATTGAAGTATTGCTTCATTCTCTGCTTTAGGCATCAGTGTTTCCCAATAGTTTAACATCTACCAAGAAAGGGAACATATCTTTATTTGGTGACACATGAAACTTTACATTTCACAGACCTTTGTTTCCCTTTCTGACCACCCTGTTGTTTGTCTGTGAGCAGGATGCAGGGGACAGGCAAGCTAACGGGCCACATTGGATCTGTCATGTGTCTGACTGTGGGACAGTCTCTGCTGGGCAAAGACCAAGTCATCACTGGCTCCAAAGACCATTATGTCAAGGTACATTTCGCCTATTCACACATTGACAGTTTTGTCAAGCCTCAGAAAAAAAGGAAAATATTGGAATTTATGATGCATGTTGTTTTTTCAGCCAAATCAAGAATTGTGGCATGCTTTTGTTTTCAGCTCCAGTGAATATCTAGACATTTCCCTGAAAACACAGCTAGTTAGCTTTCTAGGTATGTTTTTCATGAGAGCATCTATAAACAGTAGAAATCTGATAAGTCAGATTCCTTATTTGGTTTTAGAGCCGGACCATTTTAAACCAGTGATGCAAATTATCCATAAATAAATTAATCCAAAGTTGATTGATCTTATCAATCGACCAATAATTAATTGAGAAACGGCCACTTTCTTAAAAAGATGGGTTTCCGCTTTTAACAGGAAGATCAATCCACACGAATGTGCTGAATAAAAAAAAAAAGTCAGTAATTATATTTTAATAATTTATTGTGCCAGCTGTATTAAATACTGAATAAGTAAACAAAAAATGTTTTTACACAACATATTTGTAATATGTAATCTATAAAAGAATAAAATATGTGAATTGCCTACAGTTTCCACTGCACAGAGATGTAAAACTATCATTAATAGACGGGGTATGTCGCTCTCATATGCTGTCAGGCTATCTGCTGCTTTAAATGGGTTAGAGTACTCCAAACTGCTCCTCCACGCAGCACAGCTCAATGGCACTATTTAGCTGATAACTTCAGGAGTTGATCAAGTACTTATTTTTACAAATAGAACCACAAGTTTATTCTTCATTCTTATTGCCATTAAACAGTGTAAATAATGCTAGAGCCAACTCCCGATCATTCATGTTTGACTTTCAAAAAAGTAAAAAAACAATCCACTGGACTTTGTTTCCACGTGTGAAGACGTTTCGCTTCCCTAACCCTGTTCAGCAAGGCCAACAATTCCCTCTATTGGCTCCCCTTTCAGAGACATAGACAGGTGTCGGGTCTTGAAGGCTCACAACAAACCCAAATGACCCCCATTCCTAAGGGGCGGACCCGTTTGTCCGGTTCAATTTACATGATTTCTTATCCAAAACAAGACTTTGTTTTTGGTCCTCTCTATAAAGCCCCAAACTCAACGCTTAATCTGACATTTTGAATTGAATAAGCTTCCTTAATGGGAAGTGAAACGTCTTCAAACTTGGAAACAAAGTCCAGTGGATTTTTTTTTTTGGAACAACTATGACCTGGATGACTGAGAATCTTCACCAGCATATTCATGTTTGACATGTATTTTTCTTCCTGCATCCTCCCGTTAAATTTGACCTGCTTCCCTTTCCCCTACTAAAGAAACGCGTTCTTTAAGCTGTGCTGCCACCAACATGGTATAACCATGGTGTGTTCAGAGTAATTTGGGAGACCAAAAATGTAAGCTTTCTGCTGTGTTCCTGGGTCTCCATTAACAAATGTTCTGTTATAAATATTGGATTTTATTTTCTGATATCAGAGTCATTGGTGTAGACCACACTTGTATTGTAGTTTGTTCTGGTACCATTAAGAAAGGGTGGATGAAAAAGGTATATTTTAGAAAAGCAAACAATTTGAAGATCCTACATGCAATTGATATGATCATGCTTCGTTGTTTGTTTTTTTCCGCAGATATTCGATGTGGCCGAAGGAACTCTGGGTAACATCGGTCCCGCTCATAATTTTGAGCCTCCGCACTACGACGGCATTGAATGTTTGGCCGTTCAAGGAGACGTTCTGTTCAGCGGCTCGCGAGACAACGGCATCAAGAAATGGGAGCTGGAGCAGCAGGAGCTCATACAGGTATGAAAATGCTCAGAGGAATGTAGAAAATGTTTGAAGAACCAAAAAACATGTCTTTGTCTATGAGGTCAGAATTCTGCCAAATGTGTTCATAGGCTATAAAAACTGCAGTTTTATGTAAAACACACACATGAACACTACTCTTTTGTGTATTTTGAGCATTTTTTATGCTTGCAGGATTTCCTGAAAAGTAGCCAATAACAGGCAGTTTGGTTTTTCAGGTTGGTTCCACTCTCAAACGGTCTGAGGAGAGGATCTATAGCCGCTTTAAAAGCAAGAGAGCACAGAGAAGGAGCATGAATTTATGCTAGTCCTATGTTGGGGTCTGGTGGTAATATTTCTGCACATATAGAAAATTCAAAGTGTGCGCTGATAGTAGTTCAGAGTGTTTTAAATAAAACTGCTTCTATGATTATTCATTGCTTATGTGCACTGCTGCAGGATGATACTGGAACAGAAAGCTACATGAGCCTAATGCATTATTTCCTGCTGACTCTGTGAGGGTCACCGGGTTGAGTTAACGGGAGGCGGGATGTTTTATAATCAGGATGAAAAGTTCATACATGGTGATTTAAGGAGTAGTTTCCTGACAAAATGCGTGTTGAATCTGCAGGCTGAAAAGTGCATCAGTCTCAAAGGCAATTAAATCCTGATCTTCTGACCCTCATAATCTGCAGAGTGAAGTTCAGTCTCCAATATGGGATGTGTGTTGCAAATAAAGTGCTAACAAGGTATTTGAGGGGATAACTGCAGTAAGACTCTTGTTAGTGATGTGGGGGAAGGACTGCATCGCTGCATATGCATAAGCTCCTGATCACTGAGCAAATGCTTCCAGTTTTTAAAGCAGTCTGAGTAAATGTATGTTTTCCTCCATGTTAAGATTAGGAAATCGGATTTAAACAAATAATACGTGCCGTTTGTAAGGGAAGTGCAGTTTCCGTTATAATGACTTTTTCTTACAAAAATTCATTTTATTACATAATTACCAGTATACATAACCTTAATTAAAATTACACTAAATATGTGTGAAGACTATAAGTTAATTAGCTTAAATAATTCTTATATAATGGTTGGGATTTTAAAATAATCAAAAGATAATATACGTTAATACAGTTTTTGTAAAATACTGAAACTTTTTTTATTACTTCAGCAAAGAGAAAGTTGGATTTATTGATCCTTATAGAAATACATTAATGTAAATAATTGTCTATAGAAAGTTATAGTTCATGAAAATAATTGACTTCCAAAAGTTGGATGTATTCAAACATAGTATATTGTAGCAAAACTGTTAAATCATCTTTCATTATTTGCTTATTAAAGTTAATGTTTGGTTATGATCTTAAAGGCAAGATGCTTTGTCATTAGGTTTGTCTGAGCAGAATTTTTTTTTTAATTATCTTCAAAGTTTTTTTTTCTGCTGTTTTATGGGAAACAAGGATGGCTAAATTTGAGTGATGCTGCACTGTTTCTCTTGTGTTTGTCTCCTCTTTGAAGACCTTTTAGTTTTAAACAGAAACCCACATTGTGATAAAGCTGGTTTTTGCAAAGGCTTTGATTCATAAAGTAGAAGAAAATAACAAACATCTAAGCCTGTTATTTTTGGTTTAACAGTTTGTTTCGTGGAGGAAAGAAGATAAAATTCACAAAAAGTAAAGTGTTTTTAATTAGTGGCCAGTTTGGATCTTGGAGACATGGGGGCTTCATTACATCCTGTAATCACGCCCCCTGGTCTTATAATCTATTTTAAACAGTCTGTGTGATAACAGCAAAAAACTGAGCAGCCAGATGCAAACTCTACTGGCGGGCTGCTTTTTGCCACCTGAGTGCTCCCTTCATTCACCCACAGTCCTTGCTCTGTAGAGGTAGCCAGCAGTGTGTGTAGTCATGAGTAATGTTGCAGGAAAGTGACATGTCAACAGTGAGGGGAGGTTTAAAGCCCACTCACACCTCAGCTAACAGGTAACAGCAGAGGAAGATGCTGAGCGGGTGTTTGTGGCTGTATTCTACTGTCTCCTGTGTACCCACCGTTGCTTGCGTATGCTAATAATGCATAAACGTACGGCTTGTGGGCGGATGTGGTTGACTCATTTGCATGCACATCACTTTCCCAGTTTATTTTGCATAACTTCTGTTTTGCCTTTTGTTTATTCAAACAGACAAAACCAAATCACAGGACGCAATTATTTCTTTCCAGAGCTGGAATTAAATCAACTCGCTCTTTGCTGCGGACTGTAGCATATGACCTTAACCGCATTTGTGAAGCCGCCAACACCATCAATTTTAAAGCCTCCCTGACTCTGTGGTCTCTTTATAATTATGTAATGCGATGAAATTGTGGCTTTGGGTATAATAATGTAACGTGTTATGGTGTTAACGCTAAAAACTTCTACAGTATTATTACTGGCAGCTGCCGTGCCCTGACCACCACCATAAAAGGCAGCCTCCGTTGTTGTTTTCCTTAAGGAATGTGGGAAGTAATATGCTTATAATTACTGTAGACTGCAACCTGCTGGACCCCCCTCCTGCCCAAACTTGATGAATGTCTCAATATAGCCTTCACCAAATAGCTTACAGTGTGTATGCAGATTTGCAGGGTAATAAGTGTTGTGTTTCTCTGTAAGGCGTAAAAGATTTAACAGACTTTTGCTTGTTTGTGTAAAGTGTTAGTATAGTGTAAAGTGTTAATGTCGATTATCTAAGTCCTCCTTGTTTATTTTATTATGCAACATGTGTCAAACTCTTCAGGTCTGCATTGAAGAATTAAGTTGAAGGGGAACTGTCCGTGGTTTTCGTTTTAATTTGTTTTTTCATTTTTTTTGGAAAAAAAAGGAAGACATTTTTGTATTTAGTCACACAAAGTCAAATACATTTAACTTCAACTGCTTCAGTGCCTGTGAGGTAAACCTCTATTTGTGTTACACATCCAGAGATGAGACATGTTTATAAAATGGTTCTAACAAGCAAAGGTTGTGAGAAGAGCCCTGGTTTAGTTCCAAACTTTAGATAGGCCATTCTAATAGGCAAATATGCTTCATTCTTAAACATTCCTTTATAATTCTTATTCCATATGGAGGACCAGGAGAGTCATTCCAAAATAAATAAATAAAAACCCATTATAAATATGACATTTAAATCATGCAGTTAGATTCAAAATAATTTTTAATTCAGCATCTTTAATTAAATTATTAAAGAGGAATTGTATATTGTGTGTATTAATCCATTATTCATTGCTGCAATTTGAAAAGCCTTTTTTTTTTTTTTTTGCAAAATGGATTTTTAAAAACCACAGTTCAAAAATCTGGTTTTTTTTTTTTTTTTTTTTGCAAAATGGATTTTTAAAAACCACAGTTCAAAAATCTGGTTATAAATACCTTTCCTTATCAAACATTTAAAAGGGTAATTTCCATTTCAGCTTCCATTTTCTTTTTAAAATCCTAAAAAGTAGTATTTGAATAATTATTTAAAAGGTGTCATTTAAAATGTGCAATTACAAGCAGTTATATTTTGTTTTCAGTGACTCTCCTGGTCCTTTATAGAATAGAGGTCTCCTGGTAACAGATGAGTTCCTTTTTTGCATTGCTTTAAATACTCCTGGATCACTTTAAAATCAGCAGTCTATATGCAGTGACACCTGGTGATGATACACTTGGTTAGCGACACATTTCTCTCTCCAGTTTGAATCCTTTGAAAGTTGTATTGCTGGATCATTAATCGATTTTATTGATTATTAGAATGTTTTTATTTGTGACTATAAATCTTTTCTTTGTCCTTCCAGCTCAGAGTAACTTTAATTCATCACTTAGATGTGAATCCATAACCGATAAACTATCTCACTGTGTGATATCACTAGCTGCAAACGGTTAGTTTGTTATATTTTCATTATTTTTAGCAAAAAATAAATGTTTTCCAGCATTTTACACAGCTTGAGGTTCGATTTTCTTCAGGTTAAGGTCCCCCTCCAGAGGGGATGATTGAAATAAAAGCTAGTTATGAATGCAGTATATGTAATTTCTCATTTTTATTATGAAACTTGTTTGAGAAGAAATTTTATTATTCTAATTAGGTGAAAATATTTTAACCCAGGCCTATTTGAAAGCAACAGGGGTGTAATTAATTCTAAATAACCTTCCCATTAGCTTTGAAGATAAGATCCAGTTGGAATCAGACAATTTAATCATGTCCTTATTTGTAATGATCTACTAATATAGACATGATTTGCATTTTTTTATTTTGTGTGTAAATAGACATTCATTCTTTCCTTCTCTCCTGCATCGTTCAGCTGTTGTGAAATATGTATTGTTTATTTCCTAGAATGTGAGTGACTGCATGTTTAGGCTGAGTTGCACAGATTTATTTTTTGTCTTCCCAAATTTCGGTTGCTGTCCTCCTAGCCAATATGTAAACACAGAAAAACATCCTCACATTATAATACTGTCTGTAGAAATGGAGGGTAGTGTCCATTCCTCTAGCCAAAGGTCAGCACAGAGTAAAAACAAGCAACTTGATGCTTTTGGTAACATTTAGTTTGAACTGTAAAATTATTGGTGATTTGTCCTTTTGTTTGGACTATAAAACAAGAAAAAAGGGAAAACAAAAACAAAATTCAGACAGATTTTTGTGCCAGCATTTAAGGGTGATTTATTTATTTCGTAGATCTGGCTTCTACCTCAGAGGCATACATCAAACGTTGTGGAGCTGCTGTTCGATAACCAATGATCCTATTATTTTCCTCTCCCCACCTTCAAAGTCAAGCTGTTGCTAAATACACACAGTTTGCATTTTAAGACAATCTGATGGTGTGAAAAAGCTGTGAACAAAGAAAGTTCTGTGACACATAAAGTTCTGATACTTAAAGTATATGTGCCATCTATGGTAAACCTGTTTTATATTGTGCAAACTTTTGTGGGATAAAGTGAGTAAAATGTAAAATTTGACTTTTGTTCCAAAGTTACATGTCCTCTGAGTGGTCAAGCTATTTATCAGCTGAACTTTGGAATGTAAACCCAGTTTACTTACAGGATGATCCCTCCAGGCTTTCAGCAATCTGAGTCCAGTTTCATCAGCGCAGATGGAACATCTGCATAACAGCATCAGGCTTACCTAGCTTTTGGTTTGCTGCTATACTTCGGTAGTGATTTTGTAGCAATGTTGCATCAGAATTCTACCAAAAATCCACACGTGTGATAAATGCTGGTATGAACAGTTTTATTTAAAACACACACATGTAAGCTACTGTCCATCAGTGCATGTGAGTGGAGCGGAAGAAATATGGTGGAGTGCAGAGCGAGTGCTAATCCTCAGTATCACAAAGGTTGTCTAAGTTGGATATGATGTTTAATAAAATGTTTGTACCAAACATAAATAAATATGGGCTTCTTTAGAGACCATTGAAACCTTTTTGAGGATAAACTTGTCATCCTTGAATAAGAGAATATCCCAGAAAAGGTGTGTTCAAGCTCTTTAACCACCAATGACTGGTCCTCCTGTTAAAGATGTACAAAACTGCTCAAATACATTGTTGCCATGGAGACTTTGCGATCTCATGACTCCCCTTTCTGCTGCTGTACGCTCAGGAGCTTTTCTCTTTTGCCTCCCATGCTTTTCACCATTTGTGGTGGCAATATAGATTCAGTTTGTTTTCAATTACTCCTTTCACTGTAGACACGTTCACCTGTATAACCCCTTTTGAAAAATGACAAAGAGGAATATACGTCTGCTCCACATTTTTTTCCATAGCCTAGATGGATAGTAAGCCATATATGCTAATTAAAGAGAGATTGAACAATATGTGTTTTTAAGACCAGTCTGATCCCAGATATTTGCTGCCGTTTTGTTTGTTTGGGAAAAATTCCTTAGGCAGATATTGGATTTTACCATTTATATAATAAACATGAATATGAAATATAAATATTACTCGAGCCTCAATTTGAACGACAAAAAAATGTCTAATCAAATGAAACGCAACACTAATGATTCATTAGTAGTAGAGATGCATGCGCTTTCTATGACCTAAAGGTATGGCTGCTCTCTAGTCTCACTGCTTTTGGTTTTAAAGTGACACAAAATACTTCCTTAAATTTGCAGGCCGTCAAACTAACGAGGAAAGTTATGTTTGAATTATTGTTCACGTCTTAAATGTGACGGATATTATTATTATTTTTTTTTTACTTTTCTGTGAAAAGCAAATATAAAATGTTTGAAATCTTCAGTGACAGATGAAAGACAAAAAAGAGGATTAATTTAATAGAAAAACACGTCTTCCTCAGTGTGCGTTCCTCTGCTCCGAGCTGCTTTAATGTGCTGCCCTGGTGGCTGAGATGAATGCAATTATAGAACAACATTAAAGCCCAAACTGCTGGAGTCATAAAAGTTTAATAAAGCCTTGCATAAAATTTAAATTGCTCTACCTGTGCTTGCTCTGTGGTTTAGGAAATAACATTTGAACTGATTCAACTGATTTAGTTTGACATCTTAGCTCTAGCATGATTTATCACGGTCTTGTGGGTTCTCTGTTCATGAAGGATCTCTCAAAAAACGTGTTGGAAAAAAGAAGCAAAAACTATTTCCTATTAGAGTCGGATTGTTTGATGTCTTTGTGGCTTTTTTGTTTATTCTCAGAAGGCAAACAGGGCTCAGGGAACCTTCTGCAAATAAAATAGCACAAAGGTTTATTTAAAAGCAAAGACTTTCTTTAATGAACCCTCAAACTGCTTTGCCAAATAGAAACAAAAATGCTTTTTGTCTCACCCAGAAAGCTAAATAACTCTTAAGATTCACGTGTTCTCATCTTAATCATCCCAGTCCTACTTTGCAGACCTTCATGTCGATGTGAACAGATCATTCCTGGCTTATGAATTCTGTTTGAAGCCATTGTAAAACTCAAAGCTAATAGACACGCAGCCTAAGAATAGCTGTGGCACATTCTAAAAACAGTCTCTAAAACTTGTACTTTTATGTTGCCTAGCAACAATGAGGTTCACTTTTAATTCAAGGAAGATGTTGTCCTCATGATAACTCATTTCTTTTCATTATAAAGGGAAAACTGAACGTATGTTTATCTGTTTCTATTTAAAGACCCCAGTAGCCCAAGTCTTTCACATGTTTTACTGCATTTTAATTTTTTCTATAAACCTCAGATATTTCATTCAGCTCCTAATTCAGGTCTGTTCTTACTTCACAGCAAATCCCAAATGCCCACAAGGACTGGGTCTGCGCACTGGCCTACGTCCCCGGCCGGCCCATGCTGCTGAGCGGCTGTCGGGGCGGCATGCTCAAGGTGTGGAATGTAGACAACTTCACGCCCATAGGAGAGGTCAGAGGTCACGAGAGCCCGATTAATGCCATATGCACCAACTCCAGACAGATCTTTACAGCTTCCAGGTATGTTAAAGTAGATTTATATTAAGAAATGTGATTGATTGCATGCAAATGTATTAAAATCCATTATTTATTTTCCTATTTTTCACTTTACAACCACAAACTTCAGAAGTTCTTTTCTAGAAAAACTGCTGTCATTGGAGTTTTATGGTACCGCTCAATACAAAATGGTGCATATTGGGTTAGCGGAAGGAAAATCAGAGGGAATTAAATAAAAAAACAAACAAAAAACAAGAAAAACAATTTTTGAAAGCCAGTTCTGTACTTTGACCGGCCCTCGCAAGCCCAGGACTCTGCTTTTCTTTGGATTTTCTATAAATTAAATAGTGCTGGTTAAATTATCTAGGGTTTCCTAATGTTTTATATATATAAAACATAAATATAAAAAATGTGAATAGTGCAACATGTATTTTTACAGAAGAATGCTTTATTGCCAATGAAGCTCTTTAGTATTTCAAGGGATGTCTTTATCAAATGAATTTTTGGTGATCCTTTTATAAATCTTCTCTCATACTCTCAGTTAGATATAGGAATGAACTTTAACTAGTTTACCCCATCCGTATGATTTGATCTAAATCATTTCTTTGGTGTCTGCGTTTTGGAGTCATTAATCTCCTGGAAGGTGACCTTCTGTCCCAGGTTCAAGTCTGTGGCAGCCTCTGACAGGTTTTCTTCATGTGTTTAGCTCCATCATAATTCTAATCAACTCTGAAGAGTTTCTGTCGAAAAAAAGCACAGTATAATCCTGCCACCTCCATGTTTACTGTGGTGTAATTTACTGCCACAAAATAAAGGTTTTGCATGCAGGCATAAATGTGGCATTTTTCTATTGCTTCTCCTCCAGAATAAGAGACAGATGTATGGTGCAAATGACAGAAGGCCTACAGCTTCGCTGCTTCTCTAATGAATGCTTTTATTGGTCAGTCTTACTTTTTCCAGTTTAAAAGTTTGACTGAACAGTGCTTTATGAGATAGTTTAAGTTTTTAATTGCATAAACACCCAACCCTAACTGTACTTTAGGTTTATCTAAAACTGACCCCTGTGGCGTTTCTTTTTCTTTATAATGATTTTTCTTAAGTTCTTTACTAACCTCAGAGACCTTCAAAGCTGAATTTATATGGGGAGTGGCGACCTAGTGGTTAGGGCATTGAACTTGGAATCCTGAGGTTCTAAATTCGAACTCTACTCCCACAGACTGCGACTCTGGGTCTCTGAGCAAGACCCTTAACCCCCTGATTGCTCCTCGGGCGCCCCATGATGGCAGTGTGTAGGGGTCTTAGAGTAAAGGGTAGGGTGCAGAGACTCAGTTGGAAACCTTTCGATTCTCCTGGAATTGTGCACATTTTTAGTTTGATTTCTATGCCCAGTCCGTTGAGCAGAGACAAAGCTCCCAAATACCAGCGAAGAAGAATTTGTAGGAGTGTGTGCAAAGTCATCTGTTTGTGTTTCGACTTTCAAAAGTGTGATGCAATCATTCAGCAATGTGCATAATTAAACACCAGTGGACTCAGGACGAGAGCCTCGCCTTTAATTCCTTAGTGACTGAGGCTCCCAAAGGTATTTTATTTTTGAACAGTTACCTAGCTTGTTGTCTGCACATTATTAACGGGCTGTAAACCACTTTAATCTAGATATGGCAGAGTTAGAAGTAATTTTAAGCACAACTTTATTCATAGTTTACTTTATTTGTTATCCTTTTCAACTGAAACCCACTAACTGAACAATGGAGTACGAAATCTGATTGCCTCAGTCCCTCTCCACTAGAAGTGGAATTAATGACTTTTTACTTTTGTGAGCAGAGGAACAAAGTGAACAGCGCTGGGGATATAACCTCTGTAGTGATTCCTTTCTTAGAACATCACGCTCAGAGACTCTGCCTAGAACCGCACCAATGTCATAATCTCGTAAATAAAGTAATAAAGTTTTATTGAATTGCATGGATAACTGCAGCATTAGACACTGGATATGTGTAACTGTGTTTTAAAACATTTTGTTTTCCCCCAGAAGAAAGCTCCATGTAGAAGTTTAAAGTGTCCTGTGAAAATAAAATTCATACAACTTTTATCCAAGTTTATTCGTTTGATATCAACATATTGCTTGACAATAACAATGTGAAAATTTATAGAGTCTGATGTTCAAGGAATTAAAATTCATTTAAAAGTTCAGTCTATTTAATCTCCAAAGAGCTCTGGTTCACCTCCAAATAATTCAAAAGGTGAACGTGTATGATCCTTACTATTAAAAGAATCTAATTAGGATAAATAAGAACGGAACTTGAAGTTTTCAAATTCAAACGATGCCCAACTCTGGAAAAGGGAAATAAAGGGGAATGCATGACATATTTTTTATTTTTCTGTTAAATAAAAAGCAATTTTCTTTGTATTGTATCAGATATCATAAAACACCCTAAAGGCTTTTTTGTGACATCAGAAAATGTAAACTGGACAATATATATTGTGACTATTACAGTTTTTAAGTATATATAAAAAAAGAGAATAATAATAATCTCAACCAGCTTTTTCTTGTTTCCAGTCTCTTCATGCATGTAAAATAATTTGTAGGTAATCAGTTACTGAGGTCTTCTGAAAAGGATTTAATGAGCGGTTTGGAGCTAGAAATGTCAAATGACATAAAGTTCAAATTCTAGTCGATATTAAATGGTGAGATCAGAAGTAAAAAGTTTGCCCTTTATCTAGAAGGTGGTCTTTCTGTGGAACATGCCTGATAATAAGCTGTTTCATGTCAGCCTCGAGTCGCTGAGGTAATGTTAAACTATAATTCTGATGTTATAACTGTATGAAACAAATATAGCAACGCTTTAATTGCCTGAGTCTGCTTTCTGTCTTTAACCTGGTTAATCATCTGTTGTTTTCTAGCTTCAGACCATCTTCTCTATGAGCAAAGATTTCCTGATCTGGACCTTTACTTTACTCTTTCCTGCTCTGACTTCCTCCATCCTCTTCCTCATCTGACCCCTCCTCCTCCTCCTCCTCCTGTAACCCCAGTGACTGCAGGGTGAAGTTGTGGAACTATGTGCCAGGCTTAACCCCATGTCTTCCTCGCCGGGTCCTGGCCATCAAGGGCCGAGCCACCAGCCTCCCATGATTGCCTGTCCTCTGCACACCGACCCTCCTTTCCTCTGGTATTCTCTAAACCGCTCATTCTTTTCTTCCTGTTTGTACTTCTTCTGCTCTGAATTTTCTCTTCTTTGTGCCCAAAATTATTTTTTTTATTCCTCCTTCTTTTCTTTTTTCCCATTGTTTTTATTCACTTCTTTCTCATTTGATTTGCTTATGTTCCTCTTCTTTTCTGTTTGGGTGTAAGCAGGTTTTACTTCATGAATTGCTACCCCATCAATGACAAGCCTGAATAACAGTCTTGACCCAAAGGAATTCAGAAAAATGTCCCATTACGGTTTTGTAGGATTGGACATAAAGAAATGTTGTCTACTAATTGTAATAGTACTTAAAAATATGACTTTAAAACTTTTGTTTACAATCTAAAAGGTCAAATAAGTCTGAAGCCTAAATTTGAATTTAGATTTTATTCTAACAAAAAATATTAAAAATATAAGAGGCTAAAAATTCATTGAAAAGTAAAAGCAAATAAAAAGGTGATTATTACAAACGTTTATAAAAATTAACAATAATTAACAATGACCTTTAATAATGTCATTATTCAAAATCACCATGGTAATGATGACCACTTTTTGACAATAATCTACTTCTAAATGTCAGTTTGACAGACTTGCTTTATTTTCTCTTGATTTGAGCAGGCAAGTAATATAATTAGTCAGTGGAAGAAGATGATTTATTTTTAAATCAAGATAAAAGCACCATTATCTTCTTTCAAGTGCATAATATCTTATTTTATGGAGAAAAAAATTAATAATTCTGTTGGCAGATCATCTTAATTAGTTGCTCTAAGTAAGGGTAAATACTCATTTTAAGATGTTTGTAATAAACATCAGATCAGCTTTTGCAGTGATCTCATTAAAACTGAAGATCCGGTCTTAACATGTCATCTGACAGAGTCAACAAATAAAGGTAGTATGCATAAACCTGCAGCAATATCCCACGCCATGACAACTGAACCAGAGGTGTAACTTCATGGCAGAAGTACTTATGTGCGTTATGGTAGCTCCTATTATTTGGTTTGAAACAGGGGTTTCAATGCAAAGTCCTCCAGGGTCTGTATCCTGCAGCTTTTAGATAGATTTGGTTCAAAATGCCTAAATCAAATTGCCTTAAGTACTTCCTCAGCATGAAGTTAGGGGCTCTGTGTTCGTTGCCCCAAGCTGTAAGGACTCTTTAGCTGAAGTGACAGTGTGTCAGCAGTCACCAGTGATAAGTAATGGCAGTAGGAAAGGAGTAGGAAAAAGAGCTTGTATGCGTCCTGTCATCTTTTCTATTAGCATAGGTAGTTTGCAAAGTCCCTCACTGGAGCTAAGAACTTGTAAGGATTCCCACAATCCTTTGTGTCACATAAGCTATAAGCACAGACCACCTCATACTGCTGTGTACTCTGAAATTATTGCTTCACATGTTCTCCATTTGACAGAAAAAAATGTACACACCTTCATTTGTTGTTGTTTGTATAGTAGAGAGCTAAAGCTTTTTGATATGTCTTTGTTGTTCTTTTCCGGAAAGCTGTAGTCCCAATTCAACTAGCAACATCCATGTGCGTTTCTGTCATGTAGTGATTTCTGGACCGCTAAAGGCTGTCTGGATTCAGCACATCAGTCCATACTTCCTTTCTTTACCAGAATAGTGTTCTTACTCTTGACTGTGCCAAAGCTACAGGGACAGAAGCTTTCGGCTATAACTATTCATTTTAACCAAATTCTTCAAAGTCCTGCTAATTACCTAATTACTTGATCCAAGTATATTTAAGGAGGGACCCATCTAACCAGTGGAAACATGAGTCAGACCAACATGAATAGTGTAAACAAGACAACAAATGAGAAACTGGGGGAATAGAGAAGCTTTTAGAGGAAGAAAAATAATATTTTTGCACACAGATAATATGTCTAGCCTTATAAGTCCAGGATAAAGCATGAATCAACGTGAACTTTAGCAAGCCTGCACTAAATCAGGACCACAGTCCCAACTGTCAATGTTATCCCAGGCTAAGAGGGCATGCATTACTGGGATCAGGCCCCAGTTACCATGCCCCCCTATCAGAGGAAATGCTGTTTTTTTATATTTAAATAAACTAAAGTTATCCTTTTAAGGTTCTCAGTGGAAAATATGTTAATCCTAAATAGAGCATTTTTAATAATGCCATATAGGGTCACCCTTCACTGCAAAACTGATTTGAAAATAAGTCAGAATGTCTTAAAATAAATGTTTTCCCCCTTAATTTGAGCAGGTAAATAAGACAATCTGCCTTTGGAATAATGAAGATAATGAATATTATGCACCTTAATTAAGCTAATAAGATCTTTATCTTATTTAAAATGCAAATCATCTTATTCCATTGATAAATTGTCCTACCTACCTGCTCTATACAAGGGAAAATACACTTATAAAAAAATTACTTGCTAATATTTAATTTTGCAGTTTATTGTGTTAAACTGCAAACATTGAAATAATAGAAAGTCAATTCATTTAGTTTATTTTCCCTGATTTTAGCAATGGAAGAAGATGACTTGCATTAAAAATAAGAATAAAAAAAATTTCAAATGCATAGCAAGTGCTTTAATATTCCTTGTATTGACAGATCATCTTATTTACCTGCTCAAAGCCAAATTATTTTAAGACATTTTTTACTTATGTTTAGAGCGTTTTTTCAGTGTAGAGTTCCACCTCCTCTAATGACTAATGACCCTCTTGAATGTGCTTGATTTAACTTTTCCCTGACTTACAAACAGCGGGTGGAGGTACATGTGAAAAAAGTGTAAAAAAGGAAATAAAAGCATAACCTGATATTAGAGTTCTCATGACGATGCAGAGTGAAACTCTTCAGTGAGGCGTTACAGACGGTGTGGGGAATGGTCTCTAATGAAGTGTGTGTTGGGCCTGTGCATTAGACAAGCACGCTTTGAAGTACGCATCTTTCTGATGCGCTATGAGTTGTTTTGAAAGGCAGGACTGCCTGATTGATGTCCCGTTATTTCCCCCGCCGTTTGTTGTGCTCTCCTTGTTTTTGTTCCTTCGCTCATCCCCCTCCTCCCCTCTCTCTTCCTCTCCAGCGACAAGACGGTGAAGATCTGGTTGTCAAAGGTGTGGAGGAAGAGGTGAGAAGCAGAGCGGCTGTGGATCCTCTGTCAGCCATCGTGCTGCAAATGGCAGCCGCTTCCAGCGACACGATGTGACGCCGCAGCCACAGTTTCCAGAGGCAATCAAGGTGTGGATCGCACAGAAAAATGGTGGATCGGGAAGTCAAAACATATGCCTTTCAGATGTTTTTTTAACTTTCAAAGTGCCATTCTGCTGTGGTGCTACTTGGGGATAAATGTTGTCATCCTGGTGAAGCATCCACCCAGCAAAACAATTTCTCACCTGACATGAAAACAACCACCTGCAGCCTGGTACTAAATGAAAGTGCCCTTCTGTTTTTTTTTTCCACCAAGGTTTCAGGCAGTGAGAGATGAATCTGCTCATGTATCTGTGGGACTGAGTGTTACAGTATTAGCTACTGTCTATCCAACAATATGGCTGTTTAGATACGGAAAACATCGGACAGTCATGTTTAATGATCATGGCGGTGGGTCCCTGGACTGTTATCATTCTCCACCCAAAAATCACTGGAATTCACCACTATTTGGTGTCCATTTTTTTTTTTTTTTTGCCAGGAATATGACTGAAAGTTAATCATGTTTTTGTTTTTATTGTAAATCCTAAGTTATTGTTTTTCCTACCTCATTCACTTTGACCTTTGACCTGAGGTGGGAAGGAACATTTTTTTACGGGTCTTTGTGTGTAAGCAGTTGGTGCTTTATGATTTCAACTGTGTATGGACATGTCCCCCCCCCCGTTCTCCCTGGTAATCCCACCGTCTGTTTTTCTGACGAAGCAGATGTTAAACTCTGGCCGAAAATGCATGCATCGCGTGCATCTGCAGCATCGGGCCTATTTTTCCCATTTATCATTCCTGCTGTCTCCATTTTAACACTGACCAGCCTTACTTTAGACTCCACCTTGTTTCCAGCTTCTAAACTTCTCCTGAACACCAGTTTAATTAGAAGTTCAGCTCTTCCAGCTACTTTTCCGGCAAGATTTCTTGTGTGAAAGTAGGTCATCACTGAGAGAGATTCTTTTCTTCCCTCCTTTTTTTTTTTATCCCACTTTTCTTCCACCCACCATTTAGCTGCTACTCTTTCAAGCAGGAATAAACTTCCTGTGCCCGTGCACTGATGTACAAATCTGTTTATGTGGCAGATTAGATGTGTGGGCAACACGCACATATGCACATGCCACGGATAAATAAACAGTCTGAACGGATGTTTTGGCTATCCATCTTGCTTGATGGGTCTTGGCATCTTTCACTGTGTTGATTCACAATCTGCATAATAACACAGAGACACTCGTAGGACTGCTACATGCCCTGAAAGTCACTTCCATTACCTTCTAGTTGTCTGACGCCTCCTAATACCTAAAACGGCTTCGCGTAATTCCATTAGCTCCTACCTTTTCCAAATTCTAAGCTTCATGCCGCTCAGATGTCTTAGTGCTTGATTAAAACCCAACTTTTGTCTGCTAGTTGTTCAGCTCAGCACTATCTTATTGAAAAAAATAATGTTTTGCTGATTCCGTGCACTTTTCCTCACAGTAGACCCAGAGCCGGACCAATATGTAGTTACATTTTATTTGGTGATGCTTTGATCATAAAGAAACATTCTTAGGAGATGAAAGTAGAAAACTTAGAGGTCCTGCTGCTGTTTCATGTGTCAAGCATGAATCTGAAGCTGCTTAAACTCGCCAAAAGCTATTTTTTATTAAATTGTAGTGTTTTCTTTTGAGAGGGGGGTAAAAAAAAAAATTCTAGCAAAGCATTGTCTTCAATACTATTTTGCTATGATTAGAAACTCAGGTATATGTTGATTTCGGACATTAGTCATAATGTGACGCTGCGAAACTAGCTTTTTCTACCAACCAAATGCCTTGTTTGTGAGAATATTATTATTTTGAACAGAAATGGTACTGTCAATTTTTCATACCCTTTTGAAAAATACTCATTTTGTGTGTTTTCACGTTTCCATTTGACTCCCTTTACTTCTTATCTATGTACTGTGCCAGTTTCACTTGGCACCTTCCCAAACTGGCCAAAACTGAAAGCCTTGAAGAAGTTGTGCACTGATGTATTGTTTTTGTTTGTTTATTTTTTTTTAACCATTAAGTCATCTCTAAAGTGTACAGTATGTAATATATGTAAAATAGCTGTCCTAAAATGCTGGGTTGGCTGGTACACAATTATACGCAGGGTAATAAACTTCCACAATTCAAAGGGTTGCAGATTTTTGGGCCCTTGGCTGTACTTTTTCTGTGCCAATCAAATGGCCCTGCTCACCATCACACCAGGTTAAAGTGGTGGTAATGAAAAGACAAATCTCTTCTGCTTCATTTTCTAACTCATACACACTCCTGCTTGCTGTATTCCCATAGCTTTAGGCTCTCTGTAGTTCAATCGCTTGTACATTTGCTGAAGGCTATTTAATGGCTGTAGAGCTAATTAGTTGATTTATAATCTATAAACATCAGCATTCATGGGGGGATGCACTTTGCGGCCAATCGTACCGATTGTTTGCTTCCATTCCTTTAGATAAATGTGGTTATTTTCCTGGTTTCAGAAGAACATACCAACTTTAAGAATTACTCGAGCTATGAAAAGGAGCGGCATCTCAATATATTTAAATGTTATCAGAAAGTTTAAAAAAAAGAGTAAATCTGTTACACACTAGTTTTTTTTTGCAATGTTATCTGTAAATTCTTATATTTTGTAGATTTATTTAGTTTTTCTTTTCCTCCTGCACTTTCCCTCCACTAAACTTTCCCTTATGATACACACACCTATAGAGTACTTTTAACAGCCAACATGGCTAAAAAAGACCTAACTACAGCAGACAAACATCCTAATTTAGGTTACTAGATACATTTATATTATAAAAATTTTAAAGAAATCAAAAATATTATAAATTTAAGTAGACAGTAATTGATGGCTTTAATAACCAAGATGAGCCTTAAATGGTTCTTTTCCTAAGAAGCTTGCTGTTAACGCAGTGCTGTATCATCAATGGAAAGTTGAGTAGAAGGAAAAACTGAGTTAGAAAGAGGTCCACAATACAGTGATAACTGTAGATTTGAAAGGGTTGTGAGGCTGACCTTAAAAATTAACTCAGATAAAGTTTAACTTTTTAAGATGAAATTCCAAAAATATATCACTTATTTTGATGATATTTGAAGTTATTGAGATGTTTGTGTTCTACTGTTTCATGTTGCTCCCAAAGTCTGACACCTGCTTAATCTGATACTTCATCTTATTCAGCACCACTTCATTCCCTGATGTGTAAATACTTGTGCCATACAATTTTTTCTAAACTTAAATGCAGCGATAAATTTGAGTTTAATTGATTTTTCAGATCGCTTGATCTCAGATTAGTCTCTGCTAATTAGGATGTACAAGCACTTTTTAAAGCAAACCTTTCTGCAAACTCTATACACCCCTCTTTTTAGATATAGATTAAGCCATGTTTTTATCTTACCCTATAAAAGAAATCTAGACATTGACCTTAAATAAGCACATCTGTTTAAATCTACTGTAGGTTTAGGAATTGCTCATACTATTGTCTCTGATAGGAAATGTAGAATAAGTTCAGGAAAATAAGATCTACCTTCAATTTGTCTTTTTTATATATTAGAATAAAAAGAAAAAACAACAACAAAAAAAAGATGCTCAGGAGACTTTATCTTCATTTTACTGGTTGCCTGTTCATATGCTAGTGTAAATATTAAAGAAATACAGACCACAAACCCAATAATTAATCTAACAGGAAATTTGAGATTGCATGTGAAACTGCTTACTAATAAGGAACACAAACTGGTTTTGTTAAGTGTTACATTCTGATTCTGGCAATAGGAATAATGCAAAATCTCTAGAATGCTGAAAAAATCCTCATGTCAAATTTTCTGCGAGGGAAGAAAAAAAATAATCAGTATGCATTGGAACAGTCTACCTCACTAGCTGTATCCTGCAGTCTAGAGCGCTGGAATGGCTGTCGGAAACATCCTCATGTCATTCGTCTAAAAGTCAGATAAATTTCCATCCTTGGCAGCTCATGCTAATTATTTAAAATCACGCATATTTGAAAAATAAACCAGTAGATATGCTTGATGGAACCTTGCATTGGTTTACCCACACCCCTCCACTCCAAAGTGTACTGCACTAAATGTTTATTTATAAAATAGTAGTATTTTTTTCTTTACACAGACTATATATATGTTTAAATGTTCAATATTCCCCTTCAAATCAAACTTGAGTATCCTGATGTACACAAGGCAACCTCCATTTATCAGAACAGAACATGTCTAGATGAACTATGTCACCTGTTTCTCATTTCTAATGATGGTAGAAAATAAATGTGAAGTTCTCATGGAGGAGTCAAGCTAACAGCTGCTCAGACCATTGCTCACTGAGTAATTAGTACATTTCTAATCTCTACAACATTACAACAATATTTATTTTAGATTTTAATAACTGTATTCGTTACGCATTTGCTTTTGCATTGACCTCCAAATCAAAATAAACCCTTTATGCAAAAATGGCTCCAAAAGCTAATGTGCATCTGCAGTTTGAGTTGTTCTGCCTGTAAAATGACTCCTACTCCTGTCTACTGTACATCAGGTAATACTGAATAAAACTTCCCCAAACAAACTTGCTTCCTCCACATTGGATTATATTAAACTCCTCCCACATAGAATAGGTAGATCCCAGCTTTGAAAATTCTATTATTTATAAGGTAAACAGAACAGTGCTGCTAATGATGGGTTTTATAGAGGATATACAGCAGGCATCCCCAAAGTCGGTCCTCGAGGGCCTCTGTCCTGCAGGTTTTAGAGGTTTCCCTGCTCCAGCACTGCTGATTTCCATCGATAGTTTAACAGGCTTTCTGAACTGCAATCATCAGAATCAGCTGTGCTAAAGCAGAGAAACCTCTAAAACCTGCACGACAGCGGCCCTCGAGGACCGTCATTTGGGGATGCCTGATATACAACCTCCCAGACACAGTACAGATTTAAAAACCCCCAATAATAATAGCCGATGTACTTATTTAGTTGAGAAATCTTAAACTTCACAAAGTTAAAAGCCTCACAACATAATTAGCATTAGCCTTGTGCCTCAGCCAAATGTCCTGACTGCTTTGTAAAAACAGAGAGTATATTAAGGACATTGACAATCAATCACCAAAACTCATGAATCTGTTTCGATGTGCTTTAAGGATTGTAGATTGTCCTTCAGTTCTGTTTAAAGCCAGTCAGTACATCTGCTCACTTTATCATCCAGGCAGAAAAGGGCTGCGACTTTGCCTCGGGCTGCGGAGGGGATGGAATGGCATTTACACACCATCATGTTGGCTCTTGATCGAGAGAGCACTTGGCTACTCTGTCACACTTCAACAGGCATCTTCTCTTGCTGCTGCTTCAGTAGATTTCATCCAGGTTTGTGTTGCATGCTAACACAATATCTGACAATGTCTGTGAAAAATGTATTTCTTAGGATAGAAATGTAGGGTCAGAAGTCGGGTTTGGCTTCTGTTGCACAGACTCGTCCCTCTTGAGTGTAAATATATGTACAGTTTTTTTTTTTTTATGTATATGAGAATTATTCCTGTAATGAAGCCATGTAAAGTGATTTGACTGTATATAGTGTTAATAAATATTTAATGAAGGATCCAATAAATGAATGAGAATTTTTTTTCCTTAGGATTTTATTTTCTATGTTTTTTAAATGTTTTAATGCCATGATTCCATAAGTACTGTCAGCTAAGCCATATTTGCATATATATTTAGAGGTTTTAAGTTAAAATAAATATATTGTT